GCTAAAATTACAAATTTATGCATCATGCCCAATTAATTTCCATCTGTGTGTGTGTGTGTGTGTGTGTGTGTGAGTGTGTGTGAGACAAAGTCTCACTATGTATCTGTAGCTAGACTGGAACTCACTGTATAAATCAGGCTGGCCTTGAACTCACAGAGATTGGTCTGCTTCTGCTTCCTGAGTGCTGGGATTAAAGGTGTGTGACACCATGTCTGGCCATGTCTAATTTTAATATCTCTCTTTCCCTCTTCTTCTCCTCTCTTTCTCCTTCTCCTTACCTCTCTTCTCTCCCTCCCTCATTAAGGGTCAGGGTCTGAGACTATAGCCAATGTTTACCTTGAACTCACTATATAGCATGCTTTGAACTCACAGTAACCCTCATGTCTCGGCCTTCCGAGCACTGAGATGTTGTGTAGCTATTTTCTCTGAATTGTAAGATACTCTCTTGAAGGAAATAGGGAGGCAGTGACTCAGGAAGTAAGTGAAATACCCAAGGCTCAGGAAGCTCCTGAAAGTTACAAGATTCCTAAGTCCCCTCCTCAAGTTATATAAGCAGTAACAATTGCTGGAGAGGAGACTGACCAGCCACACTGTCTATAAATTATGTGCAGAGCTCCAGGGAGGGATACAGCTTTTGGTCACCCATGCTGGAGTGGGCTTTTCAGTGACCTCTAAGTTATCCATGTTTCTACAAGTAACCATCAGTACCAAAAATAAAAATAATAATAACCCCAATCATGCTGGCTCACTGAGCCAGAGGTGTGTAGAATTGTTTTGCTGGTCTGTTGTTGGTGCCTTACCTTGGGTGAATAGACCTTGTTCCCATCTCCCAGGAAAAGTTACACAATATGGGATCATGGGCATGAATCACTACATCAGCTCATCCTTAATCTCTTCTGCTGATTACAGCCCCCTGGTTTGTTATCACAAGGGAAATAGCACATTCCCCCAGTTTCAAAATCTATTCTTAGCTACCTCATCAGCAAGCCATTACTCTCTACCACAAAACAAATGTGCTGGGAAACAGACTATATTACTTTCAAAAGGAATAAACAGTTCCATAGGCATTGATAGCAAATCATTCCAGAATAGTCACCCTGTGAAAGCATACACTACCTGGGTGTAATGATACATGCCTGTGATCTCCATCCTTAGAGTGTCCAAAGCAGAGGACGATCAGGTTATCCTCAGCTACACAGTCATTTTCCTACCTGGGTTACATGAGAACATGCCTCAAAAAAACAAAGGACAAAAAACAAAACAAGAAATCTCCCGGGGCTGGAGAGATGGCTCAGAGGTTAAGAGCACCGACTGCTCTTCCAGAGGTCCTGAGTTCAATTCCTAGCACCCACATGGTGGATCACAACCATCTGAAATGAGATCTGACACCTTCTTCTGTGTTCATAATAAATAAATAAATAAATAAATAAATAAATAAATAAATAAATAAATAAATAAATCTTAAGAAAGAAAGAAAGGAAGGAAGGAAGGAAGGAAGGAAGGAAGAAGAAAGAAAGAAAGAAATCTCCGCCCCAAATACACAAACTAGCTAACAAAGTGACATCCCAAGAGAGTGAAAACTCCCATAACACAAATATAATCTTTTTCTTTTGATGTTGGGTGGGGCTGTTTTGTTTTGGTTTTGGTTTGTTTTTTGAGATGGCTTTCCCTATGTACCTTAGGCTGGCTGGAACTTAGTATGTAGCCCAAGCTGGCCTTGAACTCAAAGTGATTCTCTTGCCTCAGCCTCTCAAGTACTCAGATTTCAGGCATTTGTACCACATCTCTCCTGAGTTTGGGGCTAGACAAACAGTTTAGTTGTAGAGTGTTTGCCTAAGCACAGAGGCGGGGTTGGATCCTGAGCACTGTGAGAGCTGGGGAGCAGAAAGGGGGGCGGCTGTTCAATCTGTAATGCCAGCAAAAGAGGCTGGAAAACAGGACCACCAAGAGTTCCAGTCCGGGCAGGCTATGAGTGAGACCCTGTATCAAACAAGCAAAACAAAAACGGAAGTGTGTTTCCCATTGTTTGGGAAGCTTTTAGATCTATAGAAAACTCAATCTCCCATGTCCTATGGCTAAGTGACTTATCAATGTAGATCAGCATGTGCCCTGGATGAATAAGGCAAAAGATGTCCTAGACAAGTGTCATGGACATGGGATACTCACTTAAGGGAATCTATAGACACCTGGTTTAATTAGAGATTCCCTTTGTATTAAACCCCAAGACCAACTCTCACTCTTTCCAGCCTTAGACTCCTCTCTATTTCTGCTACATTCCACATGCACAGGTATCAGAAATGTAACGATTCAGAAACG